GAGAAGGAGAAACATTTCTTGGCACCTCGCTCACGGACGACGCTGAGGTAAACCGGCTTGCCGGGCTCCCCCTTGATCATATCAGAAATACTAAGTGCGTCAAGATCTGTAACGGGCATGCCCTCTACTGCCAGCAGTTTGTCCCCCACGTTCAAGACTTGTGAGGCTGGAGACGCCTGCGTTCCTGGTAAGATGAAAGGGGAGAGGGGAGAGGTCGGGAGGAAGGCAGGCAGAGAGGTGGGAGGGAAGAGGAGGAAGAGGGGAAAGGGAGAGGGGGGGAGGAGGGAAAGGTGGGAAGGGGGGGGGGGGGGGGGGGGAGGGAAGAAGAGAGAGAGAGAGAGAGAGAGAGAGAGAGAGAGAGAGAGAGAGAGAGAGAGAGAGGAGGAAGGAGCAGAGCAGAGGAAGGAGCAAACAAACGAGAACAAGAGGAGAGGTGGAGAGGAGAGGAGATGCTCATCAACCCATGCTTCCTTGGAGATGGCTCGGAGATTCGTGGAATCATGGAGCAGTTCTCGGATCTGAAGAGGAGGACCACGGAAGAGGTCAAGCAGAGCAGTCATCCGTCAAGATCCTCACCTTAAAGACGAGAGCCTCCTGCACCGGCCCACGAGCCGACGTGCTCTGTGGGAGACAGTGAGCGGCAGCTGCGGTCAGCAACGGGTTCAAACCTGGACGAGCAGGTCTGTGAGGTTCTGCGGCATGTCCGAGACCGCTGGGTCGGAGGAGGAGGCAGACGTGTCAAAGGAGGAGCCGCTGGCTCCGGATGCGTTACTGGGGAATACGTAAGGGATATCGAAGACGGGGGTTGAGATGGGATGGTACCGAGTTCCTCTCTTCTCCCTTCCTCCATACGAGTGCTACACGAACACTGGTCAGGACGGGACAGGATTCCTATCCCTTACCCTCAGCCTGACCAGCACACAACGTTAGGGAAAGTCAAACCAGCATCAGCAGCATCAGCAGCAGCACCTGCTCACTTGCTTCTCGGCCTCTTGACGGATGAGACTGTTTGGCATGAGCGTTGAGTGAGCACGATGAAGCTACCCGGGAGTGAAGCAAACTACCTCTCCAACGTTCCCTCCTCGTTAGAGAGCGAGCGATTGGCGCGGAGGCCCTCCTTGGAGGTGCTGGGCCGGGGGAGGGTAGGAGCACTCTTCCTCAGGCTCTCCTCCTGCTCCATCTTCTGGCGGATGGCTGCAAGGACACTTAGTCGCCATGCTCTCTCGTCATCCTGCCATCTCACCTGCCGCTGCTTCCGCAGGCGACAAGCGCTTCGGAGAGCGACGGTTGTCTAGAGGACCGCAGTCAGCACAACCCGACCAGCCATTGCTAGGATCGCGCCTCTTCCTCTCTTCCCTTCCAGCCATTGTTGTCGCGCAACCTCCTGCCACCCTCTCAGCACTTCACCTCCTTGCTGACTTGATGCAAACCTCTACATACGACGAGGTTCGCTCAGGCTCTACCATGGGAGCCTGTCGGTGCAGTCCTGACATTGTCGATAGCAAGCGAAGCTATCAGATTGTCTGGCAATCACATTCCTCATGAGCCTGCATCGCCATCGTCGTGTCAGTCGCTACAAGTTCGCTCGCCTCCAGCATGGCATTGAGTTCAGACGAGGGGAGTTTCCGATTCGAAACTCTGTGGCTCAGCGAAGCCAGCAGCCCTCTAACGGTGGCTCGGACGGATGCAGTGTAGCAGGAGGGAGTACAACGTATCCTTACCGTCTCGTTTGCCCTCCTCCACCTTACCCGCCCTTCCTCCTCTTCTCCATCCCGCCATGGCGCCCGCCAAATCCAAATTTCCGCCATGCAGGCCGTTATAAACCGTGACAGACTGTAGCATGACCGTTATCTCCGTTATTCTGCTTTCTGGGCCCGCCCCGACATTACTACCTCGGCCGCTGGGGATGCGGGCCAGGAATTTCTTCCATGGAGGCGTAGAGCGAGGGGGCCGAAATGCACACGGGGGGAGGGGAGGGAGGGGAGGAAGAGGAGGGAGAGGAGGGAAGAGCGAAGGCGGAGAGATGAGAGGAGACATCGTGGTTGATCAAGAAAGGAAGAGAGAATGGAGGGGACCATGCATGAAAAGGGATAGTTGATGATAGAGGACAGGTCGGCGACATCTGCCTTGCAACCTTTGACGCTACTTCACTGGAGCTGGCTACATTGCTCAAACTTCAGAGCATGTCGAACACAGGAGCATGTCTTCGCCCCCTGCCTCCGATGCCGGTGGTAGCTGAGAGAGGCGACATCAACTCGATGAAGGCAAGAGAACCCTCTACGCCGGCAAGCATGCCCGCCTTACTATGTGGCAGGCGCTGTTGGAGGAGGGGACGCACGTAGACGATAGAGGCACGGGGTCCAAGACTGGGTAAGAAGAGTTGTCCTGCTGACATGTTAGAGGGCATAAGGCTATCAGCCTTTCAGTCCGACATCACCATCACACTCTTGCTTCCTTGCTTGAGCTGGTTGCCTCCCCCAACTCTTTGGTGGTAACACTTCGAGCGCAGCATCATGCTTGCGGCCAAGAACAGCAAAGGCGATGCGGTTGACTTCCTGATTGGTGCAAAGTGAGGAAAATGGAGAGGAGGAGGAGGGAGAGGAGGAAGGGGAGGAGAGATAGCGAGGGTTGAACTGTTACGATCTGACTTGGTGTTGCTTCTCCTCCTGCTAAACAGGGCAGATGTGAACGGTGTGGACCCAAACACGCAACAAGATGTTCTTCAGCATGCGTGCCAGGGGAAAGACGCAACGATCGTACTGAAGAGGCCGTGTCGCATTCCTACAAGTAACACCTTGGGCAGATTGTAGCACTCATCAATGCGGGTTGTAAGGTCTCGCATGCGGGTAGAAGAGTGCGAGTGTTTCGAAATCCTCTTGAGTCTTTTTACCGCAGACAAGACGGGAAGGAACTGTCTTGACTTCGCGCAAGAAGCAAAGATGAAGCACGTGGGGCTGTTTGAGTTGTGTTCACTGATGAGAATCGCACGTTCGATGCTTGTCTATATGAAATCATGATGATGAAATCTATATGAGATCATGATGATGAAATCTATATGAGATCATGATGATGAAATCTATGTGAAATCATTGATTTTATGATGATGGTTTCATCTGTACACGTGATGATTAATTCTCCTCCTCCCTCCGCTTTCTGCTCTTCCCAGTCTCCTCTTTTGTTTTTACTCTCGGTCTCCATCTGCATGCTCTCGGAGGGTTACAACCCTTGCCCCCCCCCTGACGCGCCTCCTATCAACTAGGCGATCTTGACCTCCCTCATGTCAAGGATGGACCTAAGACGTTCACCGTCGGAGCAAGAGGACGCGACCATCGCCCTCCATGCCGCCGCCTCCATCGGAGATGTGATGAGCACGAGGAGGGAGGAAGGGAGTGAAGGAAGTTACAGATTGAAAGGGCAAAGGAGCTCCTTCATCCCAGGGAGGGGGATAGGACGGTCAGCGTGACGGTAGACTCGGTTGCCCTTCTTTGTTTGCAGACACCATCAAGGTGCAAATTAGCTGACTGACTAATCAGGTTGATCACCTTGGAAGGACATGCCTACATTGGGCTTGTTTCCTCTCCATGAGCAACTCCATCGATTTCCTTATCGGTGATTCAGAGCTCTTCATGTTCCTTCCCGCCCCCCCCCCCCCCCCCCCGCGCCCCTTGCCATCCATTCTGTGTTTGCTCATCTTGTTTCTTTCCTTTCTCTCCGCTTACAACGTTGGTTCCTCAGGAGAAGGAGCCGATCCGGAGAAACGAGCAAGCGTCGGTCTGGACGCGATCTGGGGGGCAGGGCTTTGGGACTTCCGCTTAAAGTGAGAGAGCATGCGAGCGATCTGGAGAAACGTGACGGGTAGGAGCAGGTCCAAGGCAGGGGATGCGAACGTGGCCTCCGATGTCACTCCCCTTGGGCCTTGTCCCGTCGACTTCATCCATCGGCAGCACGTCCTGCCACTGCTCTCCTGCCCTGCTGGCTGCTGAGACCTGCCTGCAGTCCGGACGAGTCCTAGCAAAGAGCGTCATTGACATGTCGTTGGGGAGGAGACAGGTCCCTTCACTCCTCCTTCCCCTCCTCCTTCCTCTCTTCCTCCCCCTCCTCCCCTTCCTCCTTCCCCTCATCCTCATCCTCCTTTCATACTTTGAAATTCTCGTCGCTTGTCAGGAAGACGATTTCGTCGCTGCCTCTTGCAGGTGCCCTTGAGCCTGCTCTCTACCTCACCCGCTTCTGCCTGTGTTTGCTCATGACGCTGCTTCTGCTCCTTCCTACTCTCCCTTCTCGCTTCCTCTTCGCTTCCTCCTCCTCCTTGTCTCAAACTTCATCGCCGGTGTCTTGTTCACCACTTAGTTCCAGAGCTCTTGCCGCGGAATCACGAGTTGCAAAGGAAGCTTCTAGACTGGAAGCTGAGGTGTGAAACACCTTCCCTCCTCCTCCTCCTTGCTCTCCTCCTCCTTGCTCTCCTTCTCCACGCTCTCCTCCTCCACGCTCTGGTTCACTACCTTCTCTTCTTCCTTGCTCGCCTTCACCTTTGTCTTCTCCTCCTTCCTCTCCTCCATCTTCTCCTGCACCAGTAATCCTCTACACGGACTCTCAAAAACTGTGCAGGGTCTACAACCTGACAAGGACATCGAAGAAGTAGCCCGCCCAAGGAAGGAGGATGACGAGCAGGAGGAGAAGCAGGAGGAGGTGACGGTCGAGAAATCTCTGCAAGACCTGAAACTGGGAGGAGGAAAAGACCCCCAGGTCAGTAACGTCCTCCCAACCCTGCTCTCTTCTCCTCCCCTTTCTCCACCTCTCCTCCCCTCTCCTCCCCTCTCCTCCCCTCTCCTCTCCTCTCCTCTCCTCTCCTCTCCTCTCCTCTCCTCTCCTCCACTCTCCTCTTCTCTCCTCTCATCCTTCCTCCCATCTTGTCTTGTCTTGTCTTGTTTGTTCCAGTCCCTCGTCTCTCTTCCTCTCATCCTCCTTTCCTTCACATCGTCTCTTTTTGATCGCTCTTGTAGCATCTGCTAGAAGTGGCTCTAAGGCTTGCATCCATATTCGGTACCATCCTCTTCATCTTCCTCCTCCTCCTCCTCCCATCTCAAAATCTCTATCTTATTTTCCTTCAATTCTTTCTGTTCTATTTCCTTCCTCCCTCCCAATCGCCTTTTCAATGCTGAAACGTCTTCCCTTATTACCACCGTCAACCCCCTCCTTCGGTACCGCTCTTGTCCTCCTCCCTCTTGACCCCGCTCAACAGTTCTCAGCGACGAGGCCAAGGAACTGATCGCTGCAGGAGTGAACATCAAGTCTGCCGAGGTCTGCCTCTGTCTTGCTCTTCTTCTACCTCGGCTCTCCTTGTCCTCTCTACTTTCCTCCTCCTCTCCACACTTCTTCTCCTCTCTTCCCTCCTCGTATCCTCCTCTCTTCCCCTTTCCAGTGCCTTATTCCTGGCTTGTGCCTGCCTCCTCTCCCATCCCCCCAACCCCCGCACCCACCCACCCGCCTCTTCCTCCTCCTCCTTTTCCTTCTTCTCCTCCTCCTCTTCCTCCTCCTCCTCTTCCTTCTCTTCCTTCTCCTCCTCCTATCCGCCTTCTCTTTTCCTCGGCTAACTCTGTCCCGCCGCCAGCCTCACTCGGGCATGACTTCCCTTCACCTCGCCTGTCACTTCGGAGCTGCGGAAGTCGCAAAGATGCTGATAGACGCCGGTGACCCCCTGAAACCTGCTCACCTGCTCTCCGTCCTCTACCACTTCCTCCTCCTTCTCGCGTCCCACTCCGCTCTCTTTCCCCCTCCCACTTCCTCCTCCTTCTCGCGTCCCACTCCGCTCTCTTTCCCCCTCCTTCTCTTCCTTTTCTTTTCCTGCAAATCCTTCATTTACCCAAACTTTTCCGATCTCTTTTCCTACCTTGCCCTCGCTCCTCCTCGTCCGCACACCTTCCCTCCTTTCCACTCCCCATCCTCCTCCCTCTTCACTATCGCCCTTTCTATGCTGTAGCTCACGGACTGTCAGGAGGGGAGAAAGACGCCAGGGACGTTTACGGTCGGACGTGCCGAGACGTCTGTCCTGAAGGAAGCAATTTGATCGCAATGCTCGACTAGCCTGACCTTCACAAGACGCTACAAGACGCTCATGTGATGCAAAGGGATAGAAGACAGGAGACGAAATGGAGGAGGAGGAGGAGGAGGAGAAGGAGGAGAAGGAGGAGGAGAGATATAGTGGAGTCCGCAGACGAGGACGTAGGGAGAAAAGTAGAGGCGAAAACGTGGGGGCAGGATACATTACAACGATACTAATCGTTATATGACCTAGAGTACATTGGGACAGACGCTATCAGCAGACGCATCCGTCAGTCCTTACAACGTGACCAGCCCGTTGGGCGTCACTGAACATCCTGAGCAGCTCGAGCTCGTCGGTGAAGATGGAGGGGATCGACCCTGCGCACGACCTCCCGCTCCTCGTCCTTGTCGCGGGACACTGATGCTCGGCTGACGTGGTGGAGGCGCGTCGGTGGCCGCCGATATGTAGCTGCTCCCTCCTATGCGTGAAGGACGTGGAATTCCTGACAGGTTGGCCCTCATGGTGGTCGCCGAGGAAACACTTCCTGTTGGCTGCAGCATCTGTCTCCTCGTTGCACGACGACGTCCGAGAGTCATACGAGTTCAGGATCTGGAGCACATGCAACAGGCGGTGGTCTGCTGAGGCGCATCGCCATATCTCCGCTGTATCGAGCACGCAGGGTGCCCTCTTGTCGCAGGTTGCTGCTCTGCCGCATTGTCGAGCGGTACTTGCGAAGAACTCATCGAACATCTGCTGCGAGACCGGCTGGATGAGAGATGGCTTGGGAGACTGTGAGCGATTGGTCATGGGTCCAAGGATATCGAAGGGCGTGATGGGGAAGTGAAGGATAGATGGGGAAGAGAACGAGTGGCAGTAGCGGGAGAGAGGGAGGCAGGAAAAGGGGCTGTGCGATAGAGCACCACTGGAGGTCGGGGCCCAGGAGATACGGATGGATTGTAGGAGGAGGAGGAGGAGGAATGTGGATGGATCACGAGAAGGATGAGAATGATCACGAGAAGGAGGGGGAGAAGATTAAGAAGAAGAAACGACAAGCAACGGTGGAGCAAATAGAAGGCGGGCGGAGCGGAAAGAGGCGGAGGAGCGGTTTAAAGGGTTTAGGGAGGTGTGGGGACCCAAGGTAGGAGGAAACGAAGGAGGCAAGCATTACAGAACACCGGTGCAAAGAAGTCTGAAAAAGTAGGTAGGGTAGTATACCCTACCCCCTGATTGTGAGGGGTAAATTACTCCTTGGATGATATTTAGAAACAGGGGATATGTACCGGTACTTGTTAGGGGCGAAGTTGCGGTGGAGAAGAAGGTGGTGTGCTTGCTGACACAAACGCTGACAACTGCTTCCGTGAAAAGATGTTTTTTGATGATGTACGTTGGAGGATAGCTTCTTTACGCCATGTATGAACGGATACAAGGGTACCAATTATCGAAACATATCCTTTTCGAAAATGCCAGTCAAATGAACTCTGCTCCTACTCCCCTCCTGCTCACATCAAGGACCCACCCCCGGATCGTGGCGATAAATCCTTCCAAATCTGTTGTAAAAATAGATTATTTCTGTCTCCACTCCGCCTCTGCTACAGAACTAACAAGTTTAAAAAGACAGAAATTGTAACTAGTCAAGAAACAGTCCTTTACAGCACTGTCTTGATGGTAGTCATGCATGGGACAGGTGCAGTAAATACTAATAAAAAGGCCGTTTATGTTCGAGCCCCCAAGCGAGCTCTCCATATTCCCTCCTCATACCCTTAGCCTCTTCACTTATACTTCGACTTAAGATTTCTCTGTGCTCTGCTTCCTTTTCCACACCCACGATTCCTCGAAATCCACCCCATCAAAGGACCTCTTGCTCTTGCCTGTCACCTTGACCATTTCCCATTAGTGTCTCTATTGTAAGATATCTCACCTTGACCCCTACCTACCTGAGCCCTTCTTACCACAGTCAGTGCGCCGCGGCATGCGGCACCGAGTCTGCGAGTCTCACTGATATGACTGGCCTAGTACGGCCGAGGGCCGCCGTTCAAGTGACGCCCCGGGCCGGTGACCGTACGGTACGGTCCGCCCAGCCGCGCTCCCGAGCCTCGGCCCTGAGGAGTCCGACTCAGCGGCCCGGGGAGGCCGCGTGACTCAGTACGCCGCCGCCGTCACGCCCGGGACCGTACTGTGGGACTCGCCGGGACTCCGGATTCCCGTAGCCCCGGACCTTCCGAAGCCTTCGCCGCCAGGCCGGCAGCCCGACTCGGGGTCGCAGGCTGAGGGACTGGACCGTACCGTCCCGGCGGTAGTACAATTGGTCATCTCAGGCTCATCCTGAAGTTTCAATGATCACCATGGCTGGCACCGCCTGCGGCAGTGCGACAGTATTCGGGAACAACTTGGCAAGCCTCGCCGAAGTTTATGGCAATGATTTCACTTCACGTTCAAGGCTGAGTAAAGTCAAAGATCGGGCCTGCCATGCCCGGGCCGGGCCTGGCCGAAGTTGCCAGGCAGTGAGAATGGTCCTGAAAGTTCAGATCTCACTGTGAGCAATCGACCGGGATCCGTCCTCCTCCTCCTCCTCCTCCTCCTCCTCCGAATCTGGTCCGCTCCTCAAGAAATGCACATCAACCTCCCCCAGGCTCACCGTCCTCCCGATCCCTCCCTTGTGTGGCCGCACAGAGTTGCTAGTAACCTCTTGCCCCCCGCTGCGACCTGGCTCGGCCTTGCTGCTGGGGTCTGCAACTCGGCTCACGCAGCTGAACCTGGTCTTGTACGATTGGATCTTGTCTAGAAGCTCAGCATGCTGCTGGGCCCTGCTTGCCATCGCCGTGTCGTCGCCGTTCGTGCTGTGAACGTGAGTGTTGAAGCGCCTGATGCGGGGCTTGTTGAGCTTGCTGGGGCCCTCGTGGAGCAAGAGCTCGGAGCTCGATCTCCCTCCCCTCTTGAATCGCTCCATCTTTTGCTGGGAGGTGGAAACAATGAGGTCTTCGTTCTGGAGGAAAGTTTGGAAGGGGATGAGCTTGGTGGAGGAGATGGCGATAGGTAGAGAAGCGGAGTCGTTTGCCATCCCTTCCCTCGTCTGATTCCCGTTGGCCAGGTCCCCCTTCACCTCCTCCCTCCTTGCTGGCTCCTTCTTCTCCTCTTCCGACCTCTCCTCCTCCCTTGATCCGCCGACATCCTGGAGCTTCTGCTGCCTGTTGACAACCTGGTGTGGTCGGGGAGGGACGGGGGAGGAGGGAAGCGAGGAGGATGGCAGCACCATGGTCATGATCACGTCAAGCTTCTGGTTCAAGATGTCCATGGCTGCGAGCTTGTGGGTGAGGGAGCGAGACTGATGCTCGACCCGCCGCTCCAGCGTGTCCATACGCGCCATGAGCTGCTTGCCCAAGTCCTGGATCCCCATCTTGTCGCTCCAGTCACTCCTCTGGGCAGGAGAGTTCCCTCCTCTCTCGATGCTTTCCCCTTCCTCTCCGTCCCCATCTTCGTCCCCGTCCTCGAAGCTCCCACGGTTCTTGACCATGTCCCTCCACTCCTTGAAAGCAACGTAGGAAGAGGAGCGGAAAAGTTTGCGGAGGATCAATTTCCTGCTCTCCATCTTCTTGTTGCCGACCTTGTTCTCAATGGAGACCTTGAAGTGGTCGATCGCCGACAAGCTCATCTTGATGGCAAACAGGATTTCCCGCGAGGTGTCGTCCTCCACTGTGTCGATCGAGCTGACCATCTGTGAGCATCGGGCACGTCAGCTGTAAGGAGGAGCGGACAGACTGTTGGGCAGGGAGCAGCGGAGGTGAAGGAGGTAACACTGGGAGAGGAGAGGAGCCAAAGAATTGGTCGATGAGTATGGAGGGCAGCAGGCAGGATGGGATAGAGAGTTAGTGAGCGAGGGGGCAGCGGCAGAGGACATGGAGGGAGGACAGAGGGAGATGGCCCGGAGGAGAGGTAGGGCAGGGAGGGCTAATGAGGGCCGAAGGAGGGGCAGTGGGTGGGAAGCAGGGAGGAGGAAGGAAAGGAAAGAGGGAGTTGAGACGCAGGGAGGAGCAAGGACGGAGAGGACACGGGAAGGCCGTCCGGTTCCCACCTTCCTCCTCACGTAGCTGTCCAGCTGCATAAGGATCATCCTCTCGAAGTTGGACGGGGTCAGCTCGCCGTCCTCGTCCAGCAGGGTCCTCCCCATCGTGAGCATGTCAAAGTCCTCCTGGGTCAGCCGGACGGGGTGCGACAGGTTCACCTTCCTCAACCCCTCGTTGATCTCCTGCAGGTTCAGAGACCCGTTCTCATCCAGGTCCAGCCTCTGCCAGGGCCGTCAATGCCTGCCCCCATCCTTTCCCCCGTCCTCGTCCTCGTCCTCGTCCTCGTCCTCGTCCTCGTCCTCGTCCTCGTCCTCTTCACTTCCTCTTCCCCGTCCTCTTGTGCTGCGGATGCATGCTTCCACCCTCTTTCCCCCTGACTCCGCGCGTTGCTCCATCCTCCCTCGAAATCCCTTTTGCTCCCCTTCCTTCTCTCTCCCGCCGACTAGAACTCCACCTCCCTTTCCCTGTCACCAACCTGCATCTTTCCTGCCACTGATCCTATACACCCCGGCTGCTCCTCCTCCCTCTCCTCCTCGTCCACCCCCCCTTGGGCTCACCTGGTAGAGCTGGTAGATCCTGTTGGAAAGCTCCTGGATGGTAGCGAACTCAACGAGGCCTGCCAGGAGGGGATCGAGAGGAAGCTGATTGAAGTGCTTCGAGTTCTGCTTTGCCTGCCGGTGCGTTAGAGGAGACGGAGTAGGGGAAGGGGGAGATATGGAAGGAAGATGGAAACATGGAAAAGACCGATACGCTGGCTGAGCCCTAGGGGTACAAGGGAGGATGAGGGAAAAAGGATGAGCAGGAGGTAGAAGGCAGGAAGGAAAGGAGGAGGGAGGGATTGCAGAGTTGGGAATTGCGAAGAGGAAGCAACTGACAAGTTCAGCCTTGAACTTTGCTCTCCTCTCTTCCTTCTCCCGCTCAACCATGGTGATGAACTCGTCGAGCAGAACAGCGACAACGATGTTCATGAGCACCTGCAAAGATGTGAGCGAGAAGAAGACAATGAGAGAAAAGAATGCAGAGACACGAGAGAAGCAAGTGGTGTTGGAGGGGACGGGAAAGGAAAGGAGTGTTATGATGAGAAGGAAAGAGAAGGACGGGGGAGCAGCAACAACAGAATGTTTTTGACAATGAGAACCGGAAGGCAAGAGATGCAGCGCTAGAGAGAAAAGACAAGGAAGGGCATAACAGACAGGAGAGAGGAGGAGAGAAGAAAGGGAAAGAGAGAGGAGAGGGGGAAAGGGAGTGGGGAAGAGAGGAGGTGTATTGAGCTCAAGAGCGCATACCATGCCAACCAGCAACATGTACGAGACGAAGAAAAATCCAACCTGAGACGATACAACAATCAGGCAGTGTGCCGATACAAGATGATACGCTTGCTCCTCCTCCTCCTTTTCCTCCTTCTCCCTTCCCTGCCCCCTCCTTACTTGATTCTCTCCTCACCCCCCTTCCTCCTCGTACTCTACCTTCCCTCTTCCTCCTCGTACTCTTCCTTCTCTCTTCCTCCTCCTCCTCCTCCTCCTCCTTACCCCAAAGTTGAATATCTGAGACTCGTGCTCGTAATCCAGCACTGAGCGCGCTATGATCGAACCCCAGGCATCGCCCGTGGAGATCTGATACATCTAAGGCAGACAGTTAGAGCCAAACAAGAGGAGAAGAAGAGAAAGAATGAATGAAGGAGTGAGATGTGACAGAATGGAAGACGACGGGAAAAAGAAGAAATGGAAAAAACATGGAAGACAAGGAAGAAGATGGGAAGGAAAATGCAAGAAAGATGGGGGACGGGGGAGGGAGGAGGAAGAGGAAGGAAACAGAAAGGAAGGAAGAAGAAGGGACGGGAAGGAAAATAAGGAAAGGGGATAAAAGAGGGAAGGCAAGAGAAGAAAATAAGAAGATCACCGTGAACATTGACTTGAGGAAGCCACCGAAGAAGTCAGGTTGTCGTTCGCTGAAGAGGTTGGTTGCAATGATGGCGTAGATGGATGTGACGAGCGATAGAATGGTGAGAGCGTTGACGACGGGAATGACTTGAATCACTTAGTTAGCCGAGAGGACGGGGAAAGGATAGAGAAGGAGGGGGAGCGGGTGAGATGGGATGGAAGAGGAATGGAGCTGAAGGAGGATGCAGGTAGAAGAGATTAGGAGCTTCTATGAAGCAGGCAGGAAGGATTGAGGTAGACAATGAAACTCAAGGCTGAAAGTACAACATGAGTACAGATGGAAGGGAAGGAAGGGATGCAAGACAGGAGGGGGAGCACGGGGAGAGCATCGTGAGAAGACAAACCTGAGGCTGCTAGGGCGTTGATAAGGATTCTCAAGGATGCAAGTTTCCTGAGAACGTCACCATCATCATCCAGCAGCTCGCATCTCCATCACTTCCTTGCATGCACCATGATCTACATCTCCGCCTCCGAAGTTCATCATCATCTTCGTCATCATCGTTGTCATGATTATCATCACCAGCATCACCAGCACAAGCATCATCATCATCATCATCATCATCATCATCATCATCATCATCAGCATCATCATCATCATCATCGTCGTCGTCGTCGTCGTCGTCGTCATAACTGCCACCACCAGCATACCGGAATAGCCTGAGCATCTTGAAAACCCTCGCCAACCTCAGCACGCTGATGCCAGTCAACCCATCGACAAACTGGGAGATGAGGGATAGAACGACCACAACGATATCTGCAGCGCGAGCATGTCAGGCATCTTGGAACCTCTACATGTCACTAGAGTTTGCCTGCAAGGTTCCATCCATCGAGGAAGAAGGCAACGGAGAAGTGACCAAAGATATTCAGCACCAGATCCTGTTCAGAACCTCTCAGCCCGCGGGCAAACATTCACTCTCAGGCAAGCAATGACACTGTAGAGATTGTTTGTGATCTTCCTATGTGGTATGCTTGTCTTCTTATCTTGCAGACAGTACTTCTCTTCGCTTCACTCTCTGAGCTGACCGTGCTTCGCTCTCCATTCGCCCATTCTCCCTCTCTTTTCCCCTCTCAACATCCTAGCCTGCTCTCGGGTGCTTTCCTTGCCTAATCCATCACATCAATATCTTGCTCATCTCCAACTCAATCTGCACCTACGTCTCCATCATCGTCACCACTACCACTACCACTACCACTACCACTACCACTACCACTACCACTACCACCATCATCATCTTCATCTTCTTCTTCTTCATCATGTACATCATCTTCGTCATCATACCACTGTGAAGCTGATGTTGAAGAACCATTCCATGGTGCTGAAGGCTTTGCTCTGGGTTGAATTCGCTTCCGGCAGCACCTGCGCATTCACCAGCGCATTGACGTAGGAGGCGACTATCAGCAGCCCTACAATTCCCTGACAGATGTTCCCATCGTAGAAATCCCTGACAATCCTTCTCCACTTGGTCAAAGCTGTCGTCTCTGACTTAGCCAACATGTCCGCCTTGCACTGCTCGATCATCGTCTCCAGGGTATGCACCACATCATCGTAGACAGCCTTGTTCTGCGTTGCCAGCACCGTCGGCCTACCTGAGTTGTGCCCGTCCTCTATGGTGAAGATGGTGAGGATATGTAGTTCCTCGTCGTCGTCGTCCAGCGCCGGGACGGCCTTGAGCTTCTGCTCCGTCCGCGGCTTGCTGACAACGTTCTTTGACTTGTACGATTTGGCAGAGAAAACAAGCTTCGTGTTGGGCTCAGCCATGCGGACCTCGCTCGTTCGGTGCACTTGCTCCACCTCGAGCAGCGGGATGTAGTCCAACATCTCCGTGCTATGCATCTTCCCGAAGCAGATCCTCTCCTCCGTCACGATAACCCGCCGCTTCTGCCATGTGACTCCAATGTCGCTGCATGCGCCGTCAGCGGAGCCTACCTCCCTCCCCTCCTTCCACACCTCAGTGCCTGCCGTTCGAGCTCGAAGCTTCGGACGAAATCAGCCTCATCTGGCAGTGTCGGCATGATGTCTGGTGTTTCCTCAGCCACCCTGGCCTTCGCATGCTTGATGCCGACAATGGCCGAGGCCATCGATCCTGGCCAGGCGCGTCAAATCGAAAGCGATTACTGCAGCACATTAGCAATGAAACACTCTCACTCATGTGAGCCATTCTCCATTGCCAAGTCCGCTCATACATCTTGAGTTTACACCACTTTCGTCTAAACCACTTCCGTGCCTTTATCTCACTGATCATCTTCCTTCTTCCTTTTCCATTCTCCCTGCTCCCTGCTCCCTGCTCCCTGCTCCCTGCTCCCTGCTCCCTGCTCCCCCCTTCTCCCTGCTCCCTGCTCCCTGCTCCCTTCTCCCTGCTCCCTTCTCCTTGCTCAATGCTCCCTTCTCCTTGCTCCCTGCTCCCTGCTCCCTGCTCCCTGCTCCCTTGCTCCCTGCTCCCTTCTCCTTGCTGCCTGCTGCCTGCTCCCTTCTCCCTGCTCCCTGCTCCCTGCTCCCTGCTCCCTGCTCCCTGCTCCCTGCTCCCTGCTCCCTGCTCCCTGCTCCCTGCTCCTTTCACTCTTTTCTCCTCGTTGCGCTTCACTCGCACACCATTTTTCCCTTCCCCATTCTCCCTGGCCGACGCTTGTCGAGCTCATTGACTGGCATAATTCCATCTGCCATACAAAGTTGCGTCGCATGTTACTACTAAGAAGTGACCATTTTTTTTAAAACTTCCTCACGACCCCACCCCAAATGGCCCACCCCACCTGGCCGCCCACCCCACCCTAGGCTGCCAGCGTACTTGGCGTCCCAAAGTTCCGCCGGGCTCCCTGAACGCGCAGATGAGGGGCCCTGGGTTATTTACCTTGAGGAGATAAGGGCTCACTCATCCACCAGAGTACCCCCTTGCGAGTCACTTCCGAATCCCAACTTCCTACCCACCCACACCCTACCCCCTACCCCCTACAGTAGGGCTCTTGGACCCTGACCCCGGCGGTCAACAAGGTTTCACGGTACCCCTACCCGGTAGTTTCTCTCTTTGAAGCATGACGCCTTCCCTTGACAGCAAGTAAACTTCCGCAGCAATCAGCCAGACCTGGTAGTACCCGGTTGTCTCCTCTCCAAAGTACCCGTACCACTAAGTGATAAAATAACTATTTTATGACCGTTATTTGGCAGTTTTCTTAATTAGCTTCACCATTTTATTAATCAGTAGTGAGCTGAAAGACTTTCACTCTCAACCGCCATGGCTGAGCGAAGGCCGCCAATGCTTCAAGCGCGAAGCACCTTCAACATGAAGGTGAGCGATAAGGGAGAGCAGAGACAGAGACAGAGACAGAGGGAGGGAGAGAGAGCCAGACAGACAGACAGACAGACAGACAGACAGACAGACAGACAGACAGACAGACAGACAGACAGACAGACAGACAGACAGACAGACAGACAGACAGACAGACAGACAGACAGACAGACAGACAGACACAGAGCCCAGGGCAGGGATATCGCTCTGGTGGGAAAGAGCGAAGAAATTAGAGAAAGAAAGGGTCCGCAGACCGGGATGAAGAGATGTGAATGAGGAAAAGAAGATAAGAAGTCATGTTGAAGAGGGCATGGGAGCATGGAAGAACAAGGGCAGATGTTTGGCAAGACGATCAACCAAGTCCTACCCTTGCCTCCACTGGAATGATATTTGAAGCTTTTATGATGACGTGATCGTACCAGAACAAACAGATGTGGCGCATTTGTGTTGGCATGAAACTGGCCGATCTGATAGAGGAGAGCAATTAGACTGAGCTACACACTAGATATCTAGTTGAGCCAGAACACATTTGAGAGCGTGTCTCTGGTCTTGTCTGAAGTAGCTACAAGAGTCAGCCAGGAAGCTTGTTGGCAGCAGATGCTAGCAGAGCAGTCAGAGGCAGAAGGAGCGCAGTAGGAACAAGGATGTCAGTTGAGCCGATCGCGCCGCGCGCGCCGCATACTATGCTGATCCTCTGACTTGTTTCCATCAGAGGGATTCAATTCCCGACGTAGAGTCCCCTCACTCCCCCACGAGGCATGGGAACGCAGGCGGGTTCAAGACGACCACCGACCTCATGCGCGATCCCATAGGACCCCCCCTCGATTATTCCTTTCTCGGTCTATTTCACAAGCTTCTCAGCCCACCCCTCCTCCGTCCCCGACCGTTGTCAACCTCCTCCTCCTCCCCACCTACCATCATCTCTCACCGCTCCCTCCCGCTCCTCCAGCTCCTCCCCAGCTCTGTTTGTCTTACTCTCTTCGTCATTCTCTCACTTTTCCCTTCCTTCTCTCTCGCCTGATCTCCCGCTGACCCCCAACACCATGCCGCTCGTCCTCTCCTCACCTCACCTCCTCCTCTCGTCTTCCGTTGTCTCCTCGTCTATTCTTGCTCAGCCTCAACTCTCTGCCTCTTCTCCCACTCTTTCTCCATGCTCCTTCTTCCTCCCCATCCTCATCTGTTCTCTCCTCCCTCACTTCCCTCCTCTCACATCTCCTCCAGAAATCCGGGCGATAGAGGAGCTTCGAGAAGTTCTTCCCAGGACAGGATACCGCAAGCAGCCGCCAGAACTCGTAGAGGACGAACAAGGGCAGCAAGCTCCGAATGTGAGGCCGCTCGTTGTGTGAGGAGGAGGGACAATGACGTCAAGGGTTGACAGCCGATCTATGCTGACTGGGTGAAAGCGCCACAGGAGGACCTGCAGACAAACGCGATTAAAGTGAGCTCGTGTTGTATTGGTGTTGCTTGTTTTGCTCTGGTTGGTCTTCGAGGCTATGATGAAGACATGTTACATGTTCCCCGTGTACTCCAACTCTCGTGATCCCTTCCATCTTCCACCTTCGTCTGCATGCTATCTTGCCTCACAGCTTGCTCAGCTTGGAAACAACTACCTTACTGCGCTACCTCCGGTCTTCAACATCATCATGAGGGAAGTCCTCGAGAAACCGAGGAACCTGTAGGCTGTCTTTCCCCGTGTCCGCACGACCCGTGAAGTGCCTACCCTTGCAGGAGCTGGATAGATCTCTCCTTCAACCAGCTAGAAGAAGTCCCTGCGGTAAGGCCCACACTGTCAACCCTTGCACCTCGTCCTCAGCGTCTTCTCCGTGCTCTCACATGCTGGCGTCAGGTGCTGGCAGCGTACGTGAAGCTAAGTGTCATCTACCTGCATGCAAATAGAATCAGGTTCGTGTTAGTCTCCCCTCCTCTGCTTCCCCTACCTTACCTTCCCTTCCCTTCCCTTCCCTTCCCTTCCCTTCCCTTCCCTTCCCTTCCCTTCCCTTCCCTTCCCCTCCTTTCACGTTCTTTCCCTTCCTTCACTCCATCTCCATCTCCTCCCCTCGCTCATCTCCATCTCTGCCCCACTCCCTCCTACCATTCCTCACCCTTCTCGACGTGTCTCGAATTTCCCATCTCGTTTCTGAAGTGAACAACTCTTAAAAAAAACACTCATTCCTTCTCACCTTCATCACTATCTTGCTGCTATCGCTCCTTTCCCCCTATTGTTACTGACTCCCCCCTCTCAGGAAGTTGAGCTCTGCTTCTGCTCTCGCCGAACTGCCCAACTTGCGATCCCTCACTCTCCACGGAAATCCTTGCGAGCAGGTGAAGAAAGGATGAGATCTCAATCTTCTCCATCATCACCATCTTAATCATTTCAATCTTCTGCTTCATCTTCATCTTCACCAAGTTTTTTCTTGATTTTTCTTGCAAGACCAAGAATTACAAGATGCTCGTCTACGGGATGTTCAAGCAGATCAAGAGCCTTGATTTCTCCACCATCACCGTCATCGACAGGGAAAAAACCGCGTCCTTCTACGCAAGGTCGGAAGAGGACGGAGAGCGAGGAAGGTGCGGGGTTTGATTGGAAGGTTTCAGGTATCTGAAGATCAAGGAGGAGCGAAAAAGCAACAAGGACTGACGGGTGTAGGTTACTGCTGGAATTTAATTAAAAGAAGAAAACGAAGAAAGGGAAGGTGGCAAAACGTCAGGGAGGGAGAGAGGAGGAGGAGGGGACGAGGGAGGAGGAGGGGAGGAGGGAAGTAGGGGGGGTGTCAGGAGGAGCACAAACACAGCAAAAGATACGAGTTTAAGTGCGTCTTGCCTCTTTGAAGTTGGGAGGGGGGCTCCTCCTCCAGTCGCAGTGCGGAGATCTGCCCAGCGGGTGCCTCTCGTCAACTCCCCTCTTGCTCTATAGCAGAGGGCTCGTCGCAGATCTCTACCCATATGCTGCTGAACAGATTGTCTTCGCTGTGTTCCGTCCCCTCAGCCTCCTTCTCCTCCCCCGCCGGCTCCGCCGTGAAATCCGCCCGTGCTGACAGCCCCACCCCCCTCACTATCTCACTCCCATGCTCCACCTTCATCATCTTCAGCGGGGGCTCCGCGCGCTCGAGAGCTTCCCCCAGCTGCTCCTGAGAAGAGGTGGACAGCGAGCTTGGAGAGAGCCGATCCCTCTTCTGCGCGTCGCTCTTCTTGCTGCAGCTGTGGACCAGCGTCTCCCACTGGTCATGGAACGTCTTGCTGACCGTCATAAACTTGTCAAGCGCGCACTGCCCAGCGAAGGGGATGGAGCTCGACTTGATCGCCTGCCAGCTTGCCTCCAGCTGGGCAGCGTCGTCCGGGTCGTCCGGGTTCCTCCACCTCCTCTCGGCGAAGTAGTGCCGAACCTCTGCCATCGTCCAAGTCAGCCAGAAGGACCGAGCGAGGGACAGAGGGAGAGAGGAGGGAGGGACGGAGGGACGGAGGGAGGGCAAAGCATTGTTCACAGACCGTTGGTTTTTGCTGGCGCTGCTGGCTCTTGATCATCCTTGGGGTAAGTGATGATGTTTGACCTCCTATCCCTCACCTTCTTGAAGTTGTTCCTCTCCAAGACCTTGTTGAGCTCTACCTCCGTCAGCCCCAGCCTCCCGATGAAGGGGTCGTCGTTCCTCACGGCCGACGGGCAGCACTGCTGCAGCGCTGCAAAGATGCTCAACTTCCCTGTACGAGCAATGAAGTGATGCCGGGTATGCTCATAGCTCACTTCCTTGCCGTGAGGGACGGTGACCTGAGACTGCTTCAGCACCTCACATACTCTGTCTCATCATGCTACCGCTTCAGCAAACTTGAGCGCAAGCCTCTTGTTCTCTTCTGAGCCAGCTGGTCGCACCATCGTCTCTTTGTCATCTTTCTTTGACGTCCAACATCTCTCCCGAGCTTCTGAGATCAAACTATCAGTTGAGTTCTCAGCAACCTCGTCACTGGAAGTAGTGTGCTGGTTAGATGTAAGTGAGATATGATGTCAACAGCGCTTGCTTTGTTTTTGTTGGTTTGTAGTATGTTCGAAGATGTTTACAGGTTGTGTTTCATGATTCCGATCTCGTCCCTGTGTACCTATTTCACAGCTCAAAGCTATCGTTGTTTGTTCTGATGATCTCATTGCAACATGTATACCTATTCATGGCTTCCATTCTTCATCTCCCCGACCCCGCCACCTTAGTCAACATTACACCTCAAATTCCGCTGCTGCAACTTCATCTTTGATCGCTGCCGTTGAAGGCCGCAGCTATGGCTCCACTACTTTATATCACGAGCATCTTCCTCCTCTGCTGTTGTTGTAACTCATCACTCCAACTACTCGCATGCTCTTCCTCCTCTTCCTCCTCTTCCTCCTCTTCCTCCTCTTCCTCTATCCGACGGCATGTCCCGCTGAGTCAAGTTCAAGGTTGACTCTATCTACCCACCCCCGCTACCAAAAAATCACCCTACCCTTTTGATCTTTTAACACTTTCATGTGTGGCCGATAATTTTTTGCTCAACTTAATACGGTACTAGATTCTGTTGTATAACTTATTTAAACTTCGAAATCACTCGTTTTCCCATAGTTGATCGCTAAATTCCGTACCATGACCCCTCCTGAGTAGAACTTGGGCCCCCGACTTGAAGTGCAGCCTACCGGTGGGACCAGGCTACTGGGCAACTTTACTGACCTCGAGTACCAGGCAGCCTGAGCCTTGGAGAAGAGAGATTTCTCGAGTCAGGTGTTAACCTGAAACGCGTAGGGTCCGACGGTCCGTCAACCATCCGCCGGATGAATCAGTAGTGGCTGCTCATTGGCTGAGTCAGTTCTCACGGAACATTTGGGACCCCTCGGGGGGGTCCGTTCGAAAATTTCCGTGAGGGGGTAGTCAGGGCTTGATACGGTTCCGACGCCCAAAAAAAAGCCTACGGTCGCCGATACCGTACCCGGTCGTCTACTGAGGGGGGCCCGGGCCCGGCCCGTGTACGGTTTCAACACTGGCACAGGCTCAGTGCAGTGCCGCCCGGCGCCGCCGGGCGGGGGGCCAGGGGCCCGCCGGGGGACTGAGGGGGGGGGGCACTGGCCGCTGCGGCCACGACGGCACGGTGACTCTGGCTTGCCCGACCCTGAGTAGTGACAGTGACTCGGACCGTACTCAGTGACTACCGTACGGTATCATAGTATCATGATCGGCCCAGTGACCCACGGTGTCGGATCGGACGGGGGCCCCCGGCGGCCGGGGCCGCCCGGCCCGGACCCGGGGCGGGGCTGCGGTACGGTCACTCAGCGGTCCGGGCCGGCCCGGGGGGGGGCCCGGGGCTCCGGCGACTCAGACTCCGACGGGGCATCGGCCCGTGCCCTGAGTCACTGACCGTACTCCGTACTACCGCCGATGATGGTCGGCGGCGTGCCAGTCAGATAGTCCGATCTGTGACACGGTCTGGAAGGCCCGCAGTCACCGTGACATCCTAGCATCTTGTTGCCGAAACTTGCCAGCCTGGGCTACTAGGCTAAGGTCGATGTCACGTGATATCTGCACAAGTCACAGGCTAACAAACTTGTGCTCGTGGGCTGGCCGCAGCGGCTCACTGAGTCACAGTTTCGGTCGGATTGCCGCAGTGCGCCGCGCCGCGCAGCAGCCGGCGCGGCGGCGCCCCCGGGCCGCGTGTTCTCAGTACTGATCTTTAACTTAACTTTGAGTAAAGTGAAAGTATGGCCCGAGGCTGGCACCACTGGGCCCGCCGGGTACTGCGGTACGGTACCGGCGGGGGGCACTGAGCCCGCCCAGGCACTAGGCTCCGCCCGGGGTCGGATTGCAGTTATGCAGTTGCGCGGCTGTAGTCCCGCAGAGATGAGCGGACCGTCCACGACTACGCGAAGCTGGAGGAGCCTCAGAGGACGAAGCCAAGGGTGAGACAACTTCGGCTGGCAACTAAAGGAAGCGAACGAGTCGCCGTCAGCCTGACCCTCCTGCATGATGGCAGTGGCTGAGACGAGCCTACTCCAAGTTGCTCTAGCCCGCAGCGTACATGAGTTCTAGTCCGAGGCTCCTTCCCTGTGCTGCTAGTTTGTCTGTATCTTGTTAATCCGCCGGGCATGCCCAAGTCATCTGTGAAGAGGAGCAATCATGTGTGGCCGAACAGCTCCTTCTCCGAGGACAGGTTGCCTTCACTCCAGCTCCTTGGGCAGCTCTGACCTGCCTTTCTCGCAGCTCTGACTCTCTCCCCAGCGTCAGTGAGAAGTGGAAGAGTCCAGCTCGGAGCTCGGACTCGCCCTGGAAGCATCGCAAGTCCAGCATGCAGCACAGCAACATCCTGCCGCCACTGACGGTAGTTGACGACGAAGAGATAGTAGCGATGTTGATGGCAACAAGCAGGACGGAGGCTTCTTTGCAGTCTTCAACAAATCACCTCCGTTGCAGCATGGAGTCCAGCGCAAGTAGAGCAAACAAGAGCAGGGGAGGGCAGGGGGTCTGAGACGTGCCCTAGGTCAGCATTCAACTTCAACTCGCTCGCTATCGAGCTGGAGTCGGAGTACCACGAGCTTGACCTGAGAGACACCGGGGAGCATTCCACGTGGAATATAGTTTCCCGAGCTATCAAGTGTTTGGGTAGCTCCTCTAGTGTGCGAATATCCCACATGACATGCCTTGCCTGCCTCAAGATTTCCTTCATAGGATCGCCGAAAAGCCCGGCCCGCTTCAGAACATTCTTGTAATCATCCACAAGCACGTGAAGGAGGCTATCTTTGCTCCTGTTCGTACACACGTGACGTCGCGTATTGGAGTGTTTGATGCTCCTGCCAGGGCTCGGACGACAGCGAACAGACCGAGGCGACGACGATCACTTACCTCGAGCTCTGTAACAAGCTGAGGGTGCGATGATTTTGTCATCAGTGTTGTTGGAAGGATGAAGTCCTTTGTAGGCAGACAACCAGGACTTGTTCGAAGAGAGGAGCTCGCTCACAAAGAAGCTCTCGCACTTCAGCCTGTCCTCGGTCCACAAGCAGAACCCAAAGGCGGCGCCCGCCATCTCGCTCTCAATGTCGAAACTCGATGTCGAGGACGTTTCTCAAGGATCAGGGTCGCACCCGCAAAGGTCTGCTCGGCCGGGGCGGGAGGGACTAGACTGACGACGGACTTTCAGGCTGACGATGGTTGAGGGGAGGACAGGGAGCTCTGAAGGAGGCGCTTCGTCCTCCCTTGACAACCAGTTTGTGCTGGAAAACCTGGTCAAGGAGAAGGAGAAGCTGGAGGCAGAGCTGCAGGTCCCAGCTGGCTGTCCACCTCCTCCATGGCTCACGCGTGCTCTGGTGCAGGCCAGACAGTTGCAGATGCACACGTTGGAGTACGAGCTTGAAGCTCATTGCCAGAAGTACGATCAGCTCATGAAAGAGTCCACGGAGCTGTCAGTGCTGAGCTTGTGCTGAGCTTGTTCGTCACTCTCATGACAGGAAAGGAGCCTTCTTGCGCCTGAAAGACGAACATCTCAACCTGCAAGATGAGTCGAAGCAGCTGGAGAACGAGAAAGAAAGATTGTTCGACTCCATTCAAACCATGGTGAAGTCTCCCGAGCTGACCTTGCGGGCTGACCGGTGTCAAGGTTCCCAAAGCCGACCTGCAAAAGATGAAGGAGGTCAGCTGCTGCTGGGTGCAGCATCACATTCGGTGACAGTTTCCTGCAGGACTACGAGATGGAGCTGGACAAGATAAGAGCATCTCAGGGCTCCTCGGCCCCCCAGGAGATTCCCCACCACCTCACTCCTCGTCCCGAGTGGAAGCGAGCAGGCGAGGGCCCGTGTTGGAGGAGAGGTCAGCTGACGGCGCGTGCAGGGATGGCGAAGCAAGTGCTCCTGGACTGTGGGGTGCAGCCTCAGTCCGACTCTTCATCAGCTGTGGGACAGACGAGCATGTCAGGTTTGACTCTGAAGTTCTGGCAGGCGGTGGACAAGGTGATCAAGGGATACCTCAAGATCCTCGAGAAGAAGTTCGCGAGGGACCCGTCGCTCGAGCTCATCCGACAGGACTCTGCCAAGCTGACGCATGGCTTCAAGGAAGAGCGGCGATGTCGAATGTGACTGTCTTGACTCTGGTGTCCAGTTGGAGATAAACGACAAGTTCATTGAGTGCTTGGGGGACAGCCCGGAAGTCCCGATCTTCCTCAGGTGCGAGCTTGTTCTGCCCTGCTCGTCTCAGTGCGCGCAGGTACAACGGACAAGTGAGAAACATGCGGATGAGAAAACGAGATGCTGAGAAGGCGATCAGGCAGGGGATGGCTTGAGCGTTGAGGGAGCTGACGTGCTTTCAGGGACATATGGCAGTCGAAGATCAAGTCCGAGGAGCGCAAGCAGGCTAAGGACAGAGCGTCTCTGGAGAACTACCTCCACAACTACTCCATGTGAGGGCCTTGTGCTGTTCTGACGTGCCCGACAAGTTTGACTCACGGGATTGACGCAGGGAGAAATTTCTTGGCAAGTCGCAGAAAGCAGCAGAGTAATTAGTTGAGGAGTTTCTTGCCAAAATCTCACCTGCTGTCAAGGTGGTGCTACAACCTCATAGTATGTCTACAGTTCAACTCGCATGACACGGGTGATGCCAGTGTTGTTGTGCGCTTTCTCACTTAAACTTCTCAGATTGTGCGCTCTTCCTCAAGATCCTTCTGGGAGATCTTGCAGAGGATGTTTACTTGGACGAGGTGTGTCTGTTGTCTGTGATGTAGGTTCTGGTGACAACCCTGCAGCGTAAGCAGATTGACTCTTGCATTCACCTTGCACACGTTGTTGATCATGACGATCATGATGGTACGAAGAGACTTCAAGTCGTCTCATGACCCGCCTGCAGGCGTGAAGACGGGGATGGCGAGCAAGGAAAAGTTCCTCATTGCCATTCAGAACTTCTTCCACAAGTCATACGATCAGATGCTCCAGCTCAAAAGGTCTTCCGCTCCTCCTCTCTGTCGAGTCTGACGCGCCTCCAGGGCCCTCGATCTGGCGTATGGGGAGGAGAAGACGTTTGCCTATGGCAACCTGTTCCAGGACGACTCCAACTTCTCGCAGAACGAGTTTGCGGAGGAGTTTCGATCTCAGGTGCGGGGTAGAGCCCCTCGACTCGTAGGGGCTGAGTTGCTTTCCTTCAGACCATTCAGGAGCGCGAGCAGCACATGGAAGAGCTGAGAGGCATGGTAGAGTCCATCTCTGACGCCAGCAGCCGTCGAATGTCGATCGAAGAGTTCAGGTACCCGCCCCCTGCTGCTGGTGCTGGTGCTGGTGCTGGTGCTGGTGCTGGTGCTGGTGCTGGTGCTGGTGCTGGTGCTGGTGCTGGTGCTGGTGCTGGTGCTGGTGCTGGTGCTGGTGCTGGTGCTGGTGCTGGTGCTGGTGCTGGTGCTGGTGCTGGTGCTGGTGCTGGTGCTCCTTACCCCATTGCTGCTGCAACTCCTTACCCCATTGCTGGTGCTGGTGCTGGTGCTGCTCCTCCTCCTCCCTCTCCCTCTCCAACGCCTCTCTTACTGCTCGTCCTGCAGTAGCAGGATGCGTCTTCTTGACCCGGTCAAGTCGGAGGAGGACGTGGAGATCTACGTGTAAGGAGGAGGAGCCGTCAGTGGCGACTTGACTTGGGAGCAGGCGGCGAGGATGCAACTGCCCGTTCCCCAAGAGCCTTCCTGAGGAGGAGGACGCAGACTTTTTCCTACGCAACCTCCTGCACGGGGTCTGCAAGCCAGGGAAGCTGAAACAAGTTTCTGTACAGGACATGACGGAGGAGCTGCGAAGTTCGGGAACTTTATTCGCAGAAAACAATCAACACAAGCAAGCAGGGGAGCACTAACGCACGAGGAGAAGGGAGCATGGAAGCGAGTCAGCCGCGTCTACCAGTAGTCGACGGGCTTGGCGGAGGCTCCATGCCGAGACATGTCGCTGGAAGTGATTTGAACGTCGAGGAGAGAGGCAGACTTGTCGGTCGCCCACTCGCGTTCGACCTCAGCCGCACTGATGGGAGCAGCGGTCGTCGCGATCCTCAGCTGGCTCTGAGACCTTGAGATGTCGAAGGGCAGAAGGGGGAAGGAGGCGACGCGCTTGGCCATGGCATGGAAGAAGACGAGGAAAGCGACGTACCTCTCGAGCGACGCGAACCTGTTCTCGTACATGATCTCTACAAGGTTCGTCTTGCCCAGCAAATCTAGCAGCTGCCCGCTCGCCTTGTCAAGCGCTCGGTCGAAGACCGTCGGCCCTGCAGCCTCGGCGAGGTTGTGTGAGGACTCGTCTCCTCCCTGTCCGCGCTTGAAGATCCGCCCAATGGTCTTGTCCAGCACGCCCCCATGGTGCTGGTCCGAATGAACCAGGTTGGCGCCAACGTGCGCCACTCGGCCATGGGAGGAGAGCGACTCGGCGTCGTTCCTCCTCGAGCTCAGGTCACTGTGCCTGCTCTTGTCGTGCCTGCTTCTGTCGTGCTTGCTGTTGTCATTGCTATAGAAGACTGGGGCGCTTGCGTCAGACGTCTTGTGAACTCCGATGTCGGCCTCTGCCGCCGCCCACTCGGTGAGGGACTGGAACTTGCTCCTGAGCCTGTTGATGTCATTGGGAGCCATCTCCTGCAAGGGGGTCAGGAAGGAGGAGGAGGAGAGTCGACAGCAATCACCTGGAGGTAGGAGGAGCCGATGGGCTCAAGATTCTCTCCCTGGGCGAAGCTCTTGTTGTCGAAGTGATCGGCGTAGCTCGTCTGAGCTGACAGCATGTTCTTGTTGAGCTCCTTGATCGTTGCCATCCTCGACATGGGCTCGTTCTCGTCCACCCCTGCCAGCGACTCGCAGAGGAAGTGGGGCCGGAGAGTCTCGAGGGTAATGTTGCCGTCTCCGAGCATGGTGTTGCGGAACGGGTTGTGCCCGACGGTGATGATCTCGGGAGGTGAGAGGAGGTGAACAATCGCCTTCGCCTGCTGCATCGCCATCATCACCCAGCTCTCTGCCTTGGTCTGCGAGAACAGCCTTCCGTCTGGACGCCCCACTGCCAGCAGGACCCCACGAGCCACCCGGTGCGTGAAGCGATGGACAAGGTGATCGACGGCGTTGGCTCCATGGACGTCGATGGAGGCGATTGAGTAGCTGAGGGAGAAGAGCTTGGAGACGTAGCTTTCCAGCAGCTGATGCACGTAGGGGACGTCCCCGATGACCAGAGTCCTCTTGCCCAGCCTCGCAAACTGCTCCCTCCCCTGGAGAAGGCGGAGGATCATCGAGAAGAAGAGAGGAAGGAAGCTGTAGAGGAGCGAGTCGAAGGCGAGGAGGAGGTACTTGAGCCACTCAGGCCCCGTGTCATGGGTCACCCCTCGCATGATGCCGGTGAAGATAGGGTAGCCCGAGACCACCGTCCCGAAGATGTACATGGCGCTAAGACACCAGGAGTACGGCCCCTCCAGCACGTGCAAGGCCCAGAAGCGTCCCTGGAGCAGGACGTGAGGAGAGTGAGGAGAGAGTTGAGGAGAGAGATGGAGAAGGCGAACACTGGAAGAAAGAACGAGAGCAAGGAATGCAGGTAGAGGGAGCAAAAAAGGAGGACAAGGAGGGGAGAACAGGAAGAAGAGAGGATTAAATGAATTTACCTTGCGAACGAGTTTCTCGTGGGTAGCAGAAGGCATCTTGCCGCCATTGAGGTCGCAGCCAAGGATGTTTGGTATCGCCTTCACGCAGCAATCTCTGTTCAGCCGGTAGAGGTCCTTCACGTCCTCCTTTCTGAATCGATTCCCCGCCGCTTTGATGAACTGGACGTCCTCGTCGCAAACCACATGCTCTGCCAGGTACAGCAGCAGCTCGGTTAGCACGTGATGCGCTGCTACAGTAGACACTGTCAGCGCTTCCGAAGGCCTCCATCCCGCGTACGTCGTCCACACCCTCCCTGTCCATGGAGCGCCGATGTAGGCGTGCTGTCCTACAGCCGCCGACATCTTGGAGTCCACGGAGCCCGTGAGCACGAAGACTCGGTCGCCGCAGACTTTGCGAAGAGCATGGGTGGCGTGTAGGGTAGGGAAAGTCTGACCAGAGTGCGAGATAGACACGACGATAGTCTCCTTGAGCGACATGGTGGTAGAGCAGAAGGCAAAACCTGACATGGGAGCCTCCCCGCGGGTGTTGGAGAGTACTCCGATGATCTTGTTGGAGGACATGGGGATGACGCGGAGGGTCGGGAAGAGCGACTGGAGGTCGGAGGCGAACTGCTCACCGAGCCACAGGGAGGCCTCTGCTCCTGTGACGAGCACATCGATCATCAGCCTCTTGGCATCGTCGCCTTTGCACTGCTCCTTGTCGAGGACCTTCTGGCGGATCATCTTGAAGAAGTGGCGGGACGTAGTGCGGTTCTTGCCATTCTGCTCGCTAAACTCCTTCCTCAGGAAGCTGAGGATGGGTGGGATGTCGGCAAGGTCCGCAGCTACCTTGTCCTTGGCCTGACTTGCGTCCCTGCTCAGCGACGGGCCATCTCCTCCGACTCCGACCAGGGAGAGGAGGGTCTCAGGCGCGATGAACTTCTCCTTGGGCATGAATCCTTGCTCCTTCTGCCGATGCACACGAAGGAAGAGGTTATTCTGCATGGAGAAAGGGGAGAACCGCCCAAAGTTGGGAGACGACTCTCCAAACTGCACCTGCATCCTTCCTGAGGCACACCAGGCTGCCTCCTGCGCCATCCTGTCCTGAGTGTTGGTGCAGATAGCGATCTCGATCACTTCCCCTCCATCTTCGTCCAAGTCGTGGCGATGCGTACACTTGGGGACCATGTTTGACTGGCCGCCCTGACTTTCTATGTCTCTCCCTCCTCCTCCTCTTCCTCCTCCCGACACGAGGCCGATCGGGACCATCTGAGCCGAAGCCTCTGAGCCCCAGAGCACAACTCCGAGGTCCTCGTTGAACGAGACGCTCATGGCCTGCCCGCGGGAGGCGATGGCGACGACGTTGGGGTCGAGCGTACAGCATGCGGTGATGCCGAACGATCCGTGGGCGCAAGAGAGGAACTTGTCAAGGGCAGTGAAGATGTCGTTCTCCAGGAAGTAGCATATTGAGTGCTGCGCTAGGAGCTCGCAGGTGCCGCAGCGATTGCGCAGCTCTCCCCCGATATCATACCAGGCCTTGGCCAGCACGGCAATCAGGTCTTTTACCTGCCTGCTGTCCTGGAGCACGGAAGAGGCAGGAACGCCTGTCACGTGCTGCTGGAAGATATTCTCAGCTATGGCAGTGATCTGATTCAGCAAGCTCTCCTCCAGGAGCATCTCCCCGTTGAGCGTGTGCTGGAAGGATGGCTGCACGCTCGTCTGGTACGCCAGCCGGATGGAGTGTTTCCATATCCCCTGCGTCCTCAGCAGCTCCATCATCCCTGCTACCTTGACGCTGTCACATGAAGCTATGGTCTTGTGCATATTCAACACGTTCTGCAGCCACCGCCCAAGGTCCTTCTGCGTCCGCAGGCTGTCAAACAGCTCCCAATAGTCAAAGTCCCCGTTGTGCGTCACGTACACCTCGTAGTTCTCGTCTGTCGCTTCCCACCCTTGACCCCCCACTCGCCATACGCGAACGGTCTGCGGGCCGCTGAACCTGTGGGGGTGACTCTCGTTGAGTCGAGGAGCACTGGAGGTAGCAAAGCGCGTGTGCCCAAGGAACATCCTGCAGACCGCCTTCTTGTATTGGCTGCTCTTCATGATCCTGTTTCTGCAAAGATAGAAGCAGCAGAAGAAGGCGCGAAAGAGGGAGGCGAAGAAACCGTAGATGGCGTTCACAACGAACCCAAGGCGGAAGCGAAACAGGAGGCCGCTCGCTAGATCTGCTCGCTTGCTCGGGACGTACCGAGTCCGATGCCCCGTCCCGTTGCTGAGTACCGTAACCAGTCCTCCGGCCTGCCCTCCACGAGCAGCGGTAGCCCCAGCCATGGCTCGGAGAGTCCGGGAGAAGTCAACAACACTCTTCTGTGCGGCCTCTATAATGAGCATCCCAAAGTTCCCGCAGTGAAAGCTGTCCCATCCCTTGACCCCAAGGTGCAGCCAGTCTGATGCGAGCGCCCCTGTTGCTATCGCCATGGTTCCCGCAACGTTCAGAGTTCCCAGCAGCTCCCCGCTCTGGTATGAGACAGCAGCGACCGAGGCGAGGGAGCAGGACGCCAGCAACCCCGCCAGCTCGATCATCTTCCTCTTTTGCTCGCAGGGGCTTGCCTGTACCTTGACATGCGGCTCTTCTGCCTCCTTCGGCCATCTTGCAAACGGCGCAAGGCAAACCAACCAGCTCGTCAAGGGCACGTGAAAGAGAGATCCTTGCCGGCTGCTGACCTTGCAGCCTAGCACCCATGCGGCGAGCACGTGGGCGCTCTCATGGATCAACACAGACGCAACCATGACGCATCTGAGATAGAAGCCAACCAACATCGAGAGAAAGAACGTGTCGACAAGTTGATCCAAGCCATGACAGAGTGAGTATGATATCATCATTACTATGGGGACCCAGCTCGGTAGCACTGCAACGACGCAAAGAAGGGGCATGGAAGGAGAGGATAGAGGAGAGAAGGAAGAGGAGCAACAAAAAGACACAAATGTCAATATCTGCGAATCTGCATACAATGAGAATTCACCTGTTACTGTAGCGAGCAAGTGAAGCACTGCCATTCTTGCAACATGAACTTTGCTCTCTTCTCCCACCATTTGTCCTTGCAGACACTCTGGCAGCTTGCTTGAAAACCACTCGCCAAGCATTTTCCTGTGTCGACATATCATCAGAACAAGAGCGTGTCTACAAGCAGGGATGCACAATGATGGAGAAACGATCCCTCAAGGGCAAGCTAAGGTGTGAAGGAATCATTAGAAGTATAGCGTAAGACAGTGGGTACAAACTACGCTCGAGGCGTTGAGCATTACGCGGGACTAAACAAACAACACAGCGAGAATGAAACTGGTGAAAGAAGAGTTCCCATAAGGAGAGCGAGGAGGGGAACGGGGAGGAGGATGAGACGGCAGCGGCGGCAGTAGCGGCGGCAGCAGTGGGAGTGAGAGCAGGACGACGGCAGGAGGTGTATGTTCGATGGCAAGGTAGAGGAAACATGGGGGCGGATAGGGCAAGGAACTCCATTAAATTGGGGGTGGTGCCATTTTAAGGGGAGGGGGTCCCTGTTCGGGTGCTGTCCTTTGGTTTACAGGGGTGTAGGGGTACGATGCAGAAGTCAAAAGGGGGTAGTATGTATCACGGGTAGCCTGTCACGAGCTCATCGTAACACATCGTTGGTGATAGGTGTAGATAGTTGGGGGTGGAGGTATTTCACTGTGTAACAGGAGATCATATCGCTATGGTATTGAACTCGAATAGATGATTTTGACCACATACTAGGTTATGGTTGGAACATAGAAACATTTTCCAAGATTGCTCCAAAGGACGGGGTAGGGGTATTCAAAACAGGTGTCCATTATCAAGTGCCAGAATCAGCAAGGGTGTGAGAGTAAAGGGTGGGGTACTAGTACCCTATCATCCTTGCCGATCAACAAATTTCTATGAAAGAGGGGGGTACTGATGGTGCTACACCGGTACCATGGTCAGTTGGTCCCTTGCAACTATCCATTTATACAATAAATATTAAATAACAACGTTTCGAATACACGGCCTCACGGATATCTAAATTTAGAAGAACTTTTCATCCACGGGTACGTAGACGGGGGCGGGGCTAATGTTTTCCTAGAATGGGGGGTTCTGGTCCTCATCGAGGTTGCAAAGTCGACCAGGGTGGTTATACATAGAAAAACGTTCAAATGCAGCTAAGGAAATACTGAGACTTCTTCACGATGTCTGTAACAAGGAGGTGTACAAACATGTGTAGGTGGTAGGGGGTAGACAAACTTGTAAATGTTTAAAAGTGTTTTACAATGCCCCATGGGGAATAATCGGTGGGTGCTACGAGCTTGTCAGAGGGGTACTTGATGGGGAGGGTAGTGTATCGGAAGATTTCCGCAGGCGATCGATTCAGCAGGTACAGCTGACACAACAGAAGTTGGCGGGAGGAACGCCAGCTAGGGGGCCCTGAAAGGGTAGGGATGAAAGGGTCTGAATTTTCTATAAGGGTCTACCACATGATTATCAAGCCTTTGATATCAAGCCTTTGATAGAAGAAAAATGAGCGGACAATCATTCAACCGTCGTCAAACGGCTAGCCCCCCTACCAATGACTACCGTGTTATTAGTACCTACTCTATCCTCAAAGTTAAGTTAAAAATCCGATCATTCCACTCAAGGTTGTGGCAGCCCGACCCGGCACGCTGGTAGTCGCGCAAAAAACGGGCCCCGGCGGGGGACAGCCCGAGGTGAGCTTGCCTCAGAGACGAATAAGCCGCCAAATGGTTGCCGGTCGGAGCAGCACGGCTTGCGCATCAGCT